GGTGGAGCCCTTGGAAGAACAGGGCCAGGAAAGGGGTCTCTGGTGCCTCCTGTTTTTCCCAAGGAGTCCTGGCTATTAGAGCTTGAACATCTGCTTTTAGCATGTTTTAATAAAGTCCTTTTAGTATTTCTTATGCCAAATGGCCGATATTTCTGGCTTTTGAACTTTACTAAAGTTAACCTCTCAGGCGCTTAGAGAAAGGAAAATTTAAGACAGTCTGTGGAGAAGAAGATAATTGACAAAGTTACGCAACATTAAACCAGAAACGACTTACTTCCTAGGTGAGGAATATGAACTCGGACCACCACTGCGAAAGTCCCATACCTTAGCTAGTGAGCTACAGCCCGCAGCAGTCTTCAGCTTCTTTCCCAGAAGGAGTCTAGAGTAGTTAATTTTGAGCTTGCAAAGGCTTTTAACTATTCAGTATGAGTTTTAGAACTAACTATGACATGAACCCTAAAATTCCTGTTCCCTGAAGGCAGAGACCGAAAGAAAGGACGGCCACGTGGTTAAAAGGTCAAGCTCCCAAGGATGTAAAACGATGTGGATACTTAATCCGTTTTTGTTTGTTTGTTTGTTTCAGGGACCTGCAGCCAAAGTAGTTACTGACCAGCTTGGTGGGTCGTCTTGAAAAGCGGGCTTACAAGTGTTCTAAGCCCATGTTTTACGCTGAAGTACCCCTCAACACAGAAAAATGAATTCATAGAACAAAATACACCAGCTTAAGACTAGTCTTAGAACTAATTCTGTTTCGCATTAATCAAAACTTTACAGAGGAGATAAACATTGATTTTTTTTTCAATTCATTCGATCGTTTACAGAGAGAGAGATAAGCCAGAAATCTGACTGGTAAGAAATTCTTACCCTTTTGTCAGCATGCCAGGCTTTTGGGTTCTCTTTCCTTGAGCAGCCCTAGTGATCTGGTTTGCAGCACCATCACCCTGGGGGCCAAGCTGCATCATAAAGGAAAATTATTTTTTTTGTTGTTCTGGCTGGAGCAAACTACGTGTGATAAAACATAGACATTAGCCACTCTGCTTAGCACCCAATATCAAACTAGCAAGGCTTAAATTTGCCCCCAGATGGGCCCTGTCATCTTTAATCCAACCTCCGACTTAGAGTTTCAACACATGGTCTCTGGGCAAGAGGGTCGCCCTGAATAATAGAAAAGATAAGAAAGGGGGCGCGGTGGCTCATGCCAGTAATCCCAGCACGTTGGGAGGCTGAGGTGAGCAGATGACAAGGTCAAGAGATGGAGACTGTCAGGCCAACATGGTGAAACCTCCGTCTTTACTAAAAAACAAACAAACAAACAAAAACTTAGCTGGGCGTGGTGGCACACATCTGTAGTCCCAGCTACTAGGGAGGCTGAGGCAGGAGAATCACTTGAACCTGGGAGGTGGAGGTTGCAGTGAGCCAAGATCACGCCACTGTACTCCAGCCTGGCAACAGAGCAAGACTTTGTCAAATAAATAAATTAACTAATAAACAAATTAATAAAATAAAAATAAGAAAGAGAAACAAAAAGTAGAGAAGGAAAGTATTGCCTGTGGCAGGGTAGAGAAAGCAAAATGATCAGGGAGGCCAGAGAAAGACCCACCCATTGCAGCGACATTGAAAAGTTCAGGCGGCTACTGTCGTCTGGCAGGGATCTTTTTCAAGCAGTCCCATCAGCTCTCAAGTTTCCCCTTTTGGAGGAGGAAAATGCTCCCCATGTCCCTCGATCCTGCACGTGCCTAATCCTGTCACCCACAGCCATCAGCAAAGAGTGCAAGCCAGATTAATTCAAAGAGAATAGCAGTTAACATCCCATAGTGCCGAACCTGTTCTTAGCTGAGAGGGACTTTACCGAGAGGGGCCTCTAACCCCCTAAATCTTAGAAGGGACTCTAACACTCCTAAGTTGGGCCTGTAACCCAAGGTCAGTCAAGTGTCCTTGCCTTTTATGAAGAGGGGCCTCTAATCTACTCTCTCTTAGGAGAGACTTTAACTCCCCTAAGTTGGGCCTCTAACCCAATGCCATCCTTTAGCCTGATACCCTGCTACTTACCCAAAGTCGTCCAATCAGTGCTGCAGTCTATTTCCTTTGGGTTGGGGAGGTTTCTTCAGTATTGTCCTGTTGTGGTTCACGAGAAAGATGTTACCGGACCCCACCACTTACCCAAAGTTAGCCTTTTGGTTGGGGGTGTCTGCAGTATAATCACTTCCGTGGTCACCAGAGAGATGTTACAGGACCCCAACACTTACCCAAAGGTAGCCGTTGGGTCAGGGTTTCTGCACTATAGTCCCTTCTGTGGTCGCCAGAAATATGTTACAGGAAAGGGATCCTGACCTCATGTCCCAAGAGAGGGTTCTTGGATCTCACTCAAGAAAGAATTCAGGGTGAGTCTGCAGTGCAAAGTGAAAGCAAGTTTATTAAGAAAGTAAAGGAATAAAATAATGGCTACTCCACAGACAGAGCAGCTGCACTTGTCTGATTAGTGGTTGTACTCATGTATATATGTTTCTGCTGTTTCTGCACTTGTCTGATTCTGCCTAAAAACTTTCTCTTTATTTTAGAAGATCAGTTTATCAATTTCTCCGAAAAGAACACCCTCTGGGATTTTGATTGGAATTGCTTTGAATCTATAGCTCAGTTTGGGGAAACTGTAACTTAAGCATATTGACTCTTTTGATTCACGAACAAGATATATCTCTTAATTTTATTTCAGTCTTAAATTTTCTCTCAGCCATCTTTTGTACTTTTCAATGTGTTATAGGTCTTGAACTTCCTTATTCAGATTCTTCCCTTTGCAGTTAATATTCTTCAGTACTATAATACATACCATTAAAAATGCCAATCCAAGTTTGTATTGATGATACACAGAAATACAATTAAATTTTTATATCGATTTTTAATTCTGCAACTCACTTATTGTTTCTAGTAACTGTTTTATAGAGTCTATCAGATTTTCTACGTGAAAGATTATGTTATCTATGAATCATACAGTTTTACTTCTTCCTTTTCAATCTGAATGCCTTTTATTTCATTTCTTGTCTCATTGCACTAACTAGATTCACCAGGACAGTGCTGAAGAGAAGTGAGTAGGACTGATATCCTGGCCCTTTTCCTTATCCGTGTGTGTGTGTGTATTTTATATATATATATAAAATTGTGTGAAAAATTGATTCACACAATTATGAAGGCTGAGTCCCACAGTCTGCCATTTACAAGCAAGAAGGAGACCAGAAACCAGTGATGTACTTCAATCCAGATCCAAAGGCCTGAGAACTAGGGAAGCAGATGGTGTAAATCCCAGTTTGAGGGCAGGAGATGTGGACTGAACATAAATATATGTGTGTAAACATGTATGTTTGTACGTGTGTGTGTACGCTATGTGTATATCCTAAATGCAGTTCTGATAGTTTCTATTTTATTTTATTGTGTTTCTTTAAAACGCTGTTCTTGCTCATTACATTAAAGATGTAAATTACATTTCATCAACAACTATGTATTTTGTGGTAACCCTAGTGGCCCATATCAAATATGTCCTTTTTGACTAAAAAACAATGCATCTTTAAAGGTTCACATTAAACTTCAGATAACAGTGTTTGTTTTTCAAAAGGCAAGAGTTAATTAATACAAATTAGACCTCAGGAAAAAGGATCAACAGGTACAGGTGCCCTCTTGGTCATTTGCCATCCTGTGTAAGGCTGTTCTTGGGCTGGGGCTGGGGTGCAGTTAAATGTCATGTATTTATGATCCCTCTTCCCTCTATTTATGAGGGAAGTATGAGAGTTGTATTAGGTATGATAGTTAATTTGACCTCGAGCCTCAAGGACTCTTACTTAAGACGTCAAAAAGTTTAGGAAGGAAAAGTAAAAGAGCTGTGCAAGCCCCTTTCAATACTCAAGAAATCTTGTGGCTCCCAGTCAACAGAGGCAGGAAAGCCTCAGTCTACGTAACACAAGCTGCATCCGTATGCATGTCCGTTGCTGGGTGTGTCCATTATTGCGCAAGTGCCTTGCTGTCTGCTGTCTGCGCTCAGAGCTGTGCCCTGGGAGGTGGTCCTCCTGTCCTCTTCATTCTTTCTCACTGACTGGGACTCAGCTGGTAGGTCCGCAGATCAGTCCTCCTGGGAATTTAGTTGTGAGTGAATGTGAGGGGGCGCCAGCGGGCTTTGGACAAGTCCTGCGGCACAGAAGCCACAGTCCGTGGCTTCTGAGGGAAAAGGGCCTCGCGGTCGACGTCCGGCTCCTCCCAGGTCGCTACGCCGCATGGGCCTTTGTCGTCGTGGCTGGGCTAGGAAGAGGGAGGAACGTGGGCCGAAGAGGGGAGGAATCACGTGAAGATGGGGCGAGTGCTGGGCGTGCTGATGGAGGAATCTGAGTGCCGAAACGCCTGGAACTCTCCGAGGGAAGGCAGATTCCCCATTTCTCACCTGGGCAGTGGCCTGGCGAGGTGGGCAGTAAGGAAGGGGCCTGGAAACTAGGAACACTGCCGCCTGATAACCGCGGCCCCGAGGTCTGCAGAGTGCTCCACGGCGGTAGAGAGTGAGGAGCACGCCCTTCACTCTGCTTCGCAACTTCACACCTCCACCAATGACATCTCGGGAAGGAATGGGAGAGGCTGTGCGTTCCAACTTAACTTGATTTTAGGGGGGAAATGGGCCTAGTAAATGAGAGTGGGGCAAAAGGTAGTCACTCCGGTTCCAATTCTCCACCTGTATTTGCCTAGATGTCTTCATGATGGAGAGTCTAATTGTAAAACCAAAACTCACAGAGAAGTCCTCTGTCTTGCCGTGAGCCTTGCCTGCTACCAGAGCCATAACATTAATGACTTCGCAAGCAGCCATATTTGGCTAAATTAGATGATACCTGAAAAATTTTGAAAATATCTTAAAATTAAGTCCCAGGGTAATTGTGAGCTTGCATGCTTTCCAGTTTAGCCATGGAAGTGGTCAAATGATACACTCTTACGTACATTTTCTGAATCACAGTATGCCACTTTCAGAGTGAAACATGAGTGGACATCAAAGAACAAGATCCAGATCTAGAGAAAGAAGAGATGATCAAGACTCTAATCATCCAATAGGGGCTGTGGTTGTGAGTATTTTAACATTTGATATTTTCTATTAGAAACTTATTTTTGTGAAAATGTTGTTGAACTAATATTGATATATTAATAAGGTTTTCCATGCTTATAAATGGTAATAATTGAATCTCGTGAAGTAAACATAGATTTGGATGTTTGCATTCTAATGTTGCCTGGATGGTTATGTTTTTATATTCCCCAGAAATATTCTCTATGGCTTCCTTCTCCTGCTTATTCATAACACATTGTATACATCCATTCCAGCGTGGATTAAAATAGCTTCCCAAGTTTTTAAGGGTAACTCTTTTCTTGTAGTAACTATTAAGAATAAGTATATAGAATTGTGTAGGATAAAAAAATGTCTTTAGGCTTATTTATGGTAAGATGTATTTGTATGTTGAGTATATGTATGTTATTAACATGCATTATTAATAACAGAGCTTTTTATTTGCACATGCACTCATATTCCTAGGCCCAGGAGCCACCCAGTGATGACCAACTTCAACAACAGGAACCACTAATTGAAAGTCAGGATTATACACCTGGTCAAGAGAGAGACGAGGGAGCACTGGAGTTCCAAGGTGAAGGGTGGGAAAGAAAGAATGCCTATGAATGGAGGAGGTGTATGTATATATCATGTATTATGATATGGAAGTAAAAGGAGGGAAAAAAGCAATAGAAAGAGATCTCAAACATTGCCTGAAAATTGGCTGGAAAAGTGAAGAAGGCATAGTTTGCAGCCGGGGGCAGTCCCTTAGTATAATGCATTCGACCTCCAAGACTTACTTGTTATGCTTGCCAGAGCGCTTCATTAGCAAATCCAGGGAAACTATGTTTAATTTTAGTCAGAATTGTATACTATTTCACTAGTTAAATTTGATCTTAGAATATTGTCTGTCCTTTTTAGTAATTATATTAAAAGTTTAAGCAACTTATAATAGCATGTGTAGAGTGTTAAGACATTATATATATATACTATAGATCACATATATGAATATATATGTCATATATATATCTCATATCCACACTAATTCACACCTTGGATTAAACTAGCTTGCATCGAGATATAAATCTATACATGATATGTGATATACACATCACATATGTATATCATATATAACACCTTGGGTTAAACTAGCTTGCATAGAAATATAAATCCCATTTGATAAGTAAGAAAACTGAAACTCAGAGATTGTGTCTTACCAAAGGGCACTTCACTGGTGGAGAAATAATTTGTATTTTATTCCAAAGTATGTATGCTTCTTACCATCTAGGTTGCTGTAAGAAAAAGTGAATGATGTTGCTCAAACTGTTTAATACTAAAATGTCTATACTGTGAGATAGCTTAGTACTGGCATAGGAAGAGACCCAATTCAGTGGAACAGAATGTGATTCCAGAGAATGACTCAATGAATGATAGCCACTGTTTACTTTGATTGAAATTTGTGTATGGAAAGTTTAGTTAATAGCTGAACAATTCAGGATATTGGCATATAGGTAGCTGGTTCAGTATAATTTTTAAGTGGCTTTTAAAAGGTGGTTAAATCCTCTTCTGGCTAGAAACATAAAAGGTTAAGTACCTACAATTATCATGAAACAATTAGTTCTTCCAGGTATGGCATTTTGGAGCAAAATGTTTACATAGCTCAAGCTGTAGATTATTTTAGCAAGTCACTGTTGAAAGAGTCCTAGAATTATGATGACAATAGTACCCATTAAATTCTTTCCATTCCACTTCCCATTATTCTTGCTGGAAGTCAATGATTTTGCTGTATTCACAAATAATTTTGCTGTTGTTTTAAGAACTTCGTTGTATACGGAATTCATTTATGGAAAGTAACATATAAGACCTTTGGACCGAAAAGTAACTTTATTTTAACAAAGTAAGTTTCTTGTTACCTCCACAGGTTATGGGTTAGGGGTGTCATGACTATAAAATATGTCATATGCTTACAAATCCATTCAGCTAATTCTTCATAAAATTATAATTTAAATGTAATTTAAATCTTATCCATGGTGTAAATTTCTGATTTCCTGGATAATTGATGTTTATTCCCTGATTGCGCTGTGGTAAAATATAAGGACAGCACATTTTGTGCTTTGTTCTTACAATGTCATTTAAAATGGAGGTTTTTGTAATGCAGGAAAACAAATATATGAAATCCAATCCATCCACAGCCATACCACCCTGAATCCACTCAATCTTGTCTGAAGTCCAATCCTAGTTGTTGTTAATGTTGTCAAAACTAACTCTTGTTTTCCTGAACTCCAACACAGTTGTCATTTATTCTTTTTTATTTTTAATTTATGTTTTGAAAAAATATAAAATTTACAGAAAAGTTGCAAGACTATTATAATCAGCTCATATGCTTTTCACCGAGATTAACTAATGTTTACAGCTTTGCCACATTGATTTCATACCCACTATTCTCTTATATAGCCATATTCTCTTGGATAACCCCTGTATTTTTATTACATTTAGGGAATTCAACAATGAAAAATGCAGTGGTTTAATATATAGCTTATATTCAAATTTCCCCAGTTGTCCCAATAATTTCCCTTATAGATTTTTTTTTCTGATTCCAAGATCATGCATTACATATAGTTGTCAATCCCATTTAATCTCTTTTAATCTGGACCAGTTCTTCACTCTTTCTTCGTCTTTCAGGACACTGGTATTTTTTAAGAGAATGGACCAGTTGCTTTGCAGAGTGTTCACCAGTATGGGCTGTATTTTTAAATACTTTTTTTTTCACTCAACACTTATTCACAGTGACTCATGCCATGCAATATGTAGGTTTTAGGGATGTAAATATAATGAGAGAGATTATTTCAGCCTTGAGCTCATAATCTAGTTAGACAGACTCAAATGAATCACTAACTTAAAATGATAAGTACAATAACGTATACCTACAGAGGGTTCAACTAAGCTGTCTGGGGCAGTTGTGGGAAAAGAAAAGGGTGATAACATTTGGAAAACTTTGTTTTCTTTTTCTGATAAGACTCCTGAAATAATGTTCTTGAAATTCTTATGCATTGCATGTATTACCACACTAGCCTATAGGCTTTTATTTTATAACATTGAGGGAGTGAATACTGTCATTCTTTCATTTATATTTTACGTTTTACAACTTAAATTGGTAACCTTTTTTATTTTTACATGCTAGACCTGGCAGCCTATCTCTGGGAACTGACTCGGTCAAAGACTGGGGGTGAACGTGGAGATGGTCCTAATGTCAAGGGAGAATTTCTGCCAAATCTCGAGCCTGTTAAAATACCAGAAGCAGGTAAGTTATTCATTAAAAATGCAAATTACGGGGTTTCTGTTTTCAAAAATACTATACATTTTATAATACAGAGGTACCACTACTGCTAATATAATTTAACAGAGTTCGTATATAAAGATTCTTTGAAAGATAGTTCAGTCCCCAAAAGCCTGACTTATAAACAAACAGAATCATAGATTCTACCACATTGGGTCAAAGTCACATTCAATTATAAAATGTGAAGGTACTTTCTTACTTTTTAGTATAAGTTCCTAAACCAACAGCTAATAATATCAGATACTTTTATAAAGGTCTGCTTTTAATAAATACCTAATGAATTTGTAACAGATATTCATTGTATGAAACATGCTGAGGCAATTAAGTAGGCTTTAGTCCAAGCTCTAACAAAATTTCACTGACTTTGGGCAAATTCCTTATCTTCTAAACCCATATTTGCTCTTACAAAAATGGGTCAAAATCAAATATATTAAAATTTGAGTAATCAACTTAAGTATGTTTTATATATTTTTTTTCCAAACTTCTAGGCATTAATTATATGAGCTTCTGAATTTAATATAAACACTTAGTGTTTAGGGAAGAAATTATCTTGCATTAGTCTACTGCTTTTGCTCTACATTCCTGATCCATTCCATTAGAATATTTAGATTAAAAGTATTTTTCGGGCTATGTTCAGGAACCTATTGAACATATACTCATAAGAAGATCATTACCTTAAATACATATGTTATTAAAAGATAAAAATATAAAATTATATGAGCATTCAATATAAAAAAATAAGAAACAGGCACAAAATAAACATAAGGGAAAAAATATATACTTAATAAAAGATAGGTATAAGTCATTAAGGGAAATAATTCAGCTAGTAAATAAAAGAGATTTTCAACATATCTACGAATAGAGGATCCCCTAGTTTGCATAATCTTGAAGAAAATGGACAAACAAAGCCCAAGTATACACAATAAAAAATAGGAACAAGACAGGACAGATATTGAATGTGTAATATAATTAAAAGTGGATGCATTCTTGAGCTCTAAACAATTTTCACAATTTGATGCAATGTTTGATATACTAGCAAAACATAAAATTATTTACTATACCACAGTAGTACTGAATATTTAAACATGATAACATGGATGAACTTTTAAAACTTGCCAGAATTTTCCATCAAAATTATTTATCATTTAAAAACAACAAAAAAATAAGCTATTGTTTGTTTATTTGTATTTGGCTTTTCTAGATTCCTCAGTCTCTTCTCTTTCTCTCTCTCCTCCTCTCCCTCTCCTTCTGCTCCCCCTTTTGCCAAATTGTGAGAATCATTACTATTTCTTTTCAACACTTCATCTATAATGATAATGGTTTGCAACCAGTGTGACGATATAATTTATTGGACAAACTGGAATATTTTTAAATGTGTAAAGAGGCATTATTGATAATTATACTAGAACCACAGGTGAAAATAGGGACAAATGGTTAACCTACTTAAAACAACCATATAAGGAGTAAACTCATCAAAAACATTTTAGCGTTTTCCCACAACAGAAACAAAACAAATATAATACTAGCCTTTCTATTTATGTCACTTAAGCACTTTCAAATGTAGCGTTACTGTTTGAGCTATCCTATATTCAAAACATTATTTCAAATTTCTTTTGTTTCCTAAGTTTTATGTTTATGTTTGGCTAGTTGGATTTTTTTCTAAAATTACACGCAGTTTTTAGTTTCTAGTTAAAACTTTCTTTAAATAGGTTCATTTGATCAAATCATTTTGAACTCAAACTCTTTCTCATACACTAGAAAAATGAGTGGAATTTTAAAATATTGTTAATACACCTGAAAGCCTACCTTCGAAGTCTCTATAGAGGTTTAACTGGATATAAGCCAGAGGGTTACCTTGTTATAGTTCATTTCATAAAACCAAAACTATGTCTTTTTTCAACCCATAGTGTCATCAGAAAAAGTTCTGCTAAAAAATACTCTCAACTGTTATGTTTATCTTATAGGTGAAGGGCCACCATCGGTTTAAATGAAGACAAGCTGAAACCATACATGCAGTCTTTACGTTGGAAACTTGACCATTGAAATTCTCTCAATAAAGTTTCACAATTGTCTGCAAAGAAGTCTTGTGCAGCTTATGTTAAACTAGGAATAATTAGGTGTTTCATGCTTGTTTTTTGAAAATTTATATTCTGTTTGAGCTGGTGTATAGAGATATACTTTTACGTATTGATTTTTCTCTCCAGAAACCTTGCTAAATATGCTTATTAATTCCAAAAGTTTGTCTCTAAGTCTTTTTGATTGTCAACATATACAATCATACCATCTGTGAGTAATAATACTTTTCAGTCTGCCTTTTAAAGTATTTTACTCTTTAGTTCCTTAATTCATTTTATGGCATTGGACAGACCCATCCAGTACAATGTGGAATTGAACTGGTGATAGTGGACACTCTCATCTTATTCCTGATAAGAAATGGAAAATATTCAACATTTTACCATGATTTGGTGTAGATTTTATCTGTAGACGTGCTTTATCAGAAGTTCCTTCTACTTCTAGTTTCCTGAGAGTATTCCTCTTGGATATATGTTGACTTTCCCCAAAGAGTTGTACTTCATCGACTGTGATTATCATAGGATTTGTTCCTCTATTAATTTATTACTGTGGTGAATACACTAAGTACATTTAACTAACTTTGCATTGGTAGGGTAAACACAATTGGTTCTTGAAATGTTATCCTTTTTCAATAATCTATGTCCTAATATTTTATTTAGGGTATATGTATATATATATTATGACTGAGATTAACTTACACTGATTTCTTGTACAATCTTTGACTTTGGCATCAAGATTATGCTAGCTTTTTAATGTGAATTGGGATGTAAAACTTCTTTTTCCATTCTCTAGAAATAAAATCTCCACAAATTGTGAGTTATGAAGGGCTAGGCTTTCCTACGCTCATCTGTTTCTGTATGACTTCTGTCTCTTACAATTTTACATTTTAGGACTTCAAAGGCAGTGACAGAAGGGGCAGCTCCAGGTTCCCATCCCTTCAAACCTTATGAGGCACATCTTCTCTGAATGCTTAGATGCCTTTAATGATGCTATCACTCTGAAAGTCACCTGCTCATGGTTTTTATGCTGATACTTTTCTCAAAGTATATGCTTCTGAAAGTGTTGTATAAGGAACTAACACTGTACATGATGACCTTAGCCAGTAATAGGATACTTTCATAAAAATTTAATCAACATGTGAATATAAAATTGTTTGACTTAAACAACCTTGTTCTGAGTCCTCAGAAATAATATCACACATCTACAGCCATCTGATCTTTGACAAACCTGACAAAAACAAAAAATGGGGAAAGGATTCCCTATTTAATAAATGGTGCTGGGAAAATTGGCTAGCCATAAGTAGAAAGCTGAAACTGGATCCTTTCCTT